ATTGCTGTATGATATCATTATCTCATTTTTGTTAATCAGTATGTAGACTCTGACCATCTATTCTAGATGATGCCTAGTGGTTTCCTCTCCCCACACATTTCCATGTGCATCCTCATCATCCCCAGGAAGAAATGAAACTCTGTTGACATCATATGGGGTTTTATTTTACTCTTTGGCTCTAGAGATCAACATTCTGTCATTTAGAAGTCTTAATCTATATAAGTGCTCTAGAAAATAGCATCCCTATTTATCTCAGCTCCTTTCTCCCTCAATATATCAAAAGAGAAGCAGTTAATCATTATTCTATGGCAATGCTATCTAAACATCTCTTCTAGCACATTTAATGTCATGATTATTGAACTGTTGTTTGTAATAAATCCCAGCAGCTAATCAAAGGTTTTTCATATTGTCCAAGTTATGACCAAAGGAAAGGCATCTGGAGTAATGGGACAGCAGATGTGTTTACATAAAATTCCTGCTAGGGGAAAAGTAGATAAGAAGAACAGACGATAGGCCTTCAAAATAGGTGGAATGTAGTATTTCCAGAATGGCATAGTAAGGAAATCAAAAATCTATTCCTTTGTAAGTACAATGAGAAAACAGTCAATAATTGTTAAAATCATTTTGGAACTCTGAAAATTAACCAAAGGCTTGCAACAGTCTGAGTATTTATTCAAGAAAAATAGAAGAATCTTGGCAAAAGCTGTGAAATTTATAGTGTCTTAAATATTGCCCTTTCTCAGCTCCATAGCAGCCTTGAAAATCAACAGCTTTACTACAGAGGCAGCTATTAAAACCAACAGCTTAGCAATCACTGTAAACATAGGCCAAGTTTACAGTGCCTCAAATATTCCTTATTTCTAGAGAATTGTCACTATGTGATCTGTCTGGTAATTCCCTGAAAAAGTCCCATTTGTAGGAATTGTCTTTATTTGAATGGACCCAGAGCTCACTATGGAATAAAACAAATAAGAAAAAAATCCCTAAGTAATTTCTCAAAAACAATCTGCAGCAATTATTTAGCATCTCATCTATGTGAGGCAGTGATAGCAACTGGGACAAACAAAAGACTGGCCAAAAAAATCTGAAAAAGGAGATCTGGGAATCAGGTGACTATAAGAGCCTTGAAAAGCACTGAGATCTTTCTGATGATCTGACCCACATATCTGTGTAGATATGTGTACTTGCTCAGGAAAGTTATGCAGAGTCACTAATCTTTTAACTCCAGCTGACTCTGAGACTCTGAATGATCAGTAAGGAAAGGCAAGAAGGCAGAGGTGTAAACTGCCAAAGCCTTGATTCCATATTCTAACAAAAGCACAGAATCAGTTAGCAAGGGGTGGAAAACTTATCGGATTAAGTCATCCAAAGATATCTTTGTCTAGTCATGACATAACCACTAAGATAGTCTTTTGAGTAGAGACTTCAAAAGCTGTACATGACAGGAAATACAGATTTTACAGAATAAGTCCAGGAAAACCACTAAAACCTAGCAGCATTAGCCACATCAAAATGTTGATAACAACCAGCTATGGACTTGATTTACAAATTTGCCATATTATATGAATTAAAGTGACCAGTTTTCAATTAAAAAATTATGAGACATGCAAAGAGACAGGAAAGGGTGGCCCCTACATAGAAAAACAGAAGTCAAAATAAACTATCCCTGAGGAAGTTCAGATGGGAACTTAACTAGGCAAAGTGTTTATATAAGCTATTATAAATATATTCAAGAAACTAAGGAAAAAACCTTTTCTACAGAGTAAAAGAAAAGTATGAGAACAATATCTCACATAATAGAATCTATCCATAAAGTGAAATTATAAAAAGAAAGAAAGAAATATTCTGACACTGGTAAGTTCAATATGAAATTTTTAAAAATCACTAGAAGATTTGAATTGACAGAAGAAAGAATAAGTGAATTTGAAAGTTGGTAATTCAGTTTATTCAGTCTAAATAATGTAAATGAAAAATAATGTAAATAAAGATGTAATGTAAATGTAAATAATGTAAATAAATAATGTAAATAAAGAAAAATGAACAGAGCCTCAGACACCTGTAGAACACCAACAAGCATTATAATACACACATAATGGAAATCCTAGAAAGAGAGAGGGAGAGAAATGGGAAGAAAGAATATTTGAAAAGAAAATTCCAAAAACATCTCAAAAAATTTTATTTTTAGACAAAATTTCACTCTGTTTCCTAGGCTAGAGTGCAATGGCAATCAGAGTTCACCATAACCTTGATCTCCTGGGCCCAAGTGATTCTTTTGCCTCGAGCTCCCAAGTATCTGAGACTACAAGCACACATTACTATGCAGGCTAATTTGCTATGATTAAAAATTTTAGCAGAGATATAGTCTCACCATATTTCCAAGGCTGGAACTCTAAGATTAGATGAAAAATAATCTCTATATTCAAAACATTTAACGAACTTCAAGTAAGATAAACTCAAGGAACTGCACCTAGACACAAAATATTCAAACTGTTGAAAGCCAAAGACATAAAGAGATTCTTAAAAACAGTAAAAGAAGAAAAAGTTATCACATACAATGAATCCTCAATAATATTAATAACTGGCTTCTCATTACAAAAGCCATGTAGACCAGAATACAGTACAATGACATGTTCAAAGTTCTGAAAGAAAATAACAGTCAACCAATATTTCTATATCAAGCAAAACCATCCTTCAAAAATGAAGGGTAGGTGTAGAGATTTTCATATAAATTAAATTGAGTTTGTTGCTAGCAGAAATATCTTACAAGAACTACTAAAAAAACCTTCAATTAGAAATAAAGGCACTAAAATTTTACTTGAATTCACATAAAAAGTAAATGAGCAGTAAGCTAACTACAGAGGTCAGTATAAATGAACGTATAAATATATTTTTGTTTATAATTATTTTCTTCTTTTATCTGATTTAAAAATAATGGCTAAAGTATTAACATGAAACTGTATCAATGGGCTTGTAAGTATAAAGATGTAATAAGAACATAAAGAAGGAATGAAGAAATGGAACTCTATTCAAATAAACTTTTGTATACTATTATTGAAATCAAGTTGGTATTAATCTGAAATAAATTATTTAAGTTACTATTTTAATTGTAATGTTCAGGGTGTTCACTCAGAAAAAAAATCTTTAAAAATATGGTAAAACAAACAGAAAGGGGTTTTAAATAGTACATGAGAAAATATTTAGTACAAAAGAAAATAGTAATGGAAGAACAGAGGAAGAAAAATAGTAAAATGGCAGCTGTATATTCTACTATGTTGGCAATTGTAATAAATATAAATAAATTTAACTCTCCTATCAAAAGTCAGAAGTTAGTTGAATGAATTTTTGGAAAAAAACATGATCCATATGTATGCTGTCTACCAGAGAAACATGTAAATTTAAACACACATATAAGTTGAAAGGATAAGGATAAAAAAATACCATACAAGTAGTGAAAAAGAGCTGGAGTGGCTATACTAACATCAGACAAGATATTAGTATAGAATGAAAGAAGAGGCATTATTACTGATCTTATAGAAATACATGAATTATAAAATAATATTATCAACGATTATATGTCAGCAAATATTAAGGCAAAAAGTTATTACTAGAGACAAAGAAGAACATTTAAATGAAAAGGTATGAACATGTATGGACCTAAATATAGAGCCCCAAAATATATTTTAAAAAACTGACAGAATTGAATGGGGAAATTGACAATTCAATAATAAATAATAGTGGGAGATACTAGCTCACTTTCAGTAATGGATAGAAAAACTAGGTAGAAATCAATACAGAAATGGAAGACTCAATCAACACTATAAATCAATGATAACTAACAGATATTCCTAGAACACGTTCTCAAGTGCACATGGCACGTTCTCCAGGATAGACCATATATTATTCCATAAAGCAAACCTCAATATTAAGATAGGGGCAAAAACAGAAGCCTAAGCACTGCCATCTTATAGAGAAGCCACCTGGGCCCTGGGCAGAGGTGTCGTTCTCAGAACTGTTATTGTACTGCAATTCTCAGAAGTGTTAAGGGTAAAAATTTCCACTGCTACCCTCCTCCCCTTGCAACGAACCGCTAACTTGAGCTTCTGTACAGACAGCTTGCCTTGCACACCCCTGGGCCCCCCTGAACAAGGATGTGGTTTTGCAGCTTAAATGCCTGCTCCACCTGAGCTCGGGGCCACGGATTGAAGAAACATGAGTCCTCAGAGGCCACTGGCAATACAGACCCTGCAATTTGGCATACTTTTGTCTTAAGTGCTGATTTTCTGTTCGCTCTGGTGCTACAATATATGTAAAAGGGATAAAAGCATACATAGTATGTTTTCTGACCACAAAGGAATGAAATTAGAAATTAATAATGAAAGAAAATTTGGGAAATTCAAAAGAAGTAGAAATTTAAAAACACATTTCTAAATAATCATTTAAAGAAGAAATAGCCAATTAGAAAATACCATAAGATAAATGAAAACAAAGCCACAACATATATAAATCTACAGAGTGCAGGTAAATCAGCCATTAGAGAGAAATTTATATTTCTAAATGCCTACTTGTAAAAAATCTCAAATTTCAAATAATAGAACTTGAAAAACTGGGAAAAGAAAAACAAAATCCAAAAGGTAGGAGAGGCATGATAAAGATTAGAGTGAAAATGAATTAAATTGAGATTAGAAAAACTATAAAAAGAATCAAACAAACTAAAAGTTGGCTTGATAAATAGATCAACAAAATGATAAAGTTTAGGTAGCCTGACACAAATGAAATCATAAAAGACTCAAATTAGGGGGCCTGCATGGGGGCTTGAGATGAGCAAGTGCCGTCACTGAGTGCTGCCAGACTGCGACGGATATTGGGAGGGCAAGTGTTTCCTTTTGGCTCTTCCCTCTGGATCTTGGCGTGAGAAACTCTAACGTCCAGATCAGCGGAGTGGAATGCAGACTTAGGACCCTGAGGAGTCTTTTTCACCCGTTTCCCCGTCACTTGCTTAGGCGCACCGAGGGCAGCCTTTGTGGGGTCCTCGTAGCCAGCCAAGATGGCTGCCCCCGCAGTGAGGGTTTCCCGAGGCTAACCCAGGTGAGATGGAGCTGCTATAGTGCTGAATTCAAGGATCCCCTGATTGACAAGGAACATTATCGCAAGCCTGTGGAGAAGCTAACTGAGGAGAAGTATGATCGGGAGCTCAAGAAGACTCAGCTCATCAAAGCTGCTCCAGCAGCGAAAACAAGTTCTGTGTTTGAAGACCCAGTCGTCAGTAAAATTCACCAACATGACGATGAAAGGAGGAAGCAAAATACTGGCCAGATCCCTCATGACTCAGACTCTGGAAGCTGTGAAAAGGAAGTAGTTTGAGAAGTACCATGCCCTTCTGCAGAGGAACAGGCAACCATTGAACAGAACCCCTACACCATCTTCCACCAAGCACTGAAAAACTGTGAGCCTATGATAGGGCTGGTACCCATCCTCAGAGGAAGCCGTTTCTACCAGGTCCCTGTACCCCTACCTGACCGACGTCGCTGCTTCCTGGCCATGAAGTGGATGATCACTGAGTGCTGGGAGAACAAGCATAGGCGGACTCTGATGCCAGAGAAGCTGTCACACGAGCTGCTGGAGGCTTTTCATAACCAGGACCCCGCCATCAAGAGGAAGCATGACGTGCATAAGATGGCTGAAGCCAAACGTGCCCTGGCCCACTACCGCTGGTGGTAGAGGTTCCAGGAGCCCAGGGCCCTCTGCCGCAAGAAACAGTGTGAGCCACTGCACACTGAAAAATACCTGTGGTTAAGGATGTAGCTGGTTGGTAAGGGTGGGCAAGCCTCAGAAGAAAGATGGAGCAGCATATTTACTGTCCGGGAATCCTTTCTTTGAGGCTAGAACTTGCTCTCTCTGCCCCCATTGCCTTGTAAAGATCCCTCACTGTAAAGATCCCACATTGACTTGGGGATTTCCTGCAGGAAACTCGGGGCCCAGTCTTCTCTTCCCTCAGCTTGGGGTTGACCTTTGGATATAAAAGCAAGCAGTTTTAGTATTAGAAAAGATTTATTGGAAAATTCTCATGCTGACGTGGTATAACATGTGGTGCAGTGCCAGCATTCATTGAAACTGGCTGGAGGAAATAGGCTTGTTTCCCGAGTTGTCCTTGTAGAAAATGTATAAAAAGTAGTTTCTGGTGTGAAAAAATAAAAAGACTCAAATTAGTAAATTGGGAATAAAAAAAAAAGAGGCATTATTCCTGGTCTTATAGAAATGCATGAATTATAAGGTAATCTTATCAACAATTTACTGAAGCAGATAGTTCTATTAAAAAAAAGGAAAAAAGGTAATATTATCAACAACTATATGCCAACAAATCCGATAACCTGAATAAAATGGACAATGTTCTAAAAAGAAACAAATTACCAAAACAAAGAAGCAAAACATTGGAATACTCCTTTAACAAGTGAAAAAGCTGAACTAATATTTTAAAAGCTACCTACAATGTAAAGCCTAGTCTCACATATGTTCACTGGTAAATTGTATCAAATATTCAAAAAAGAATAATATTTGTCCTCCATAAACTCTTCCAAAGCATGAAAGAGGAGGAAACGCATTCCAATTCATTCTATTAGGCTAGCATTATGTTGATACCAAAATCTGATAAAGACATCATGCAAATATCCTCAACAAAATACTAGCAAACCAAATGTTGCAACTTATAAAAAGGAATATGTACCATTGTCAAGTAGCATTTATCTCAGAAAGGTAAGTTTGACTTAACATCTGAAAATTAATCAATGTAATATACCATACTAATAAAAATAAAAGACAAAAAACACATGGTCTTCTCAATATATGTAGGAAAAGCATTTGACAAAATCTCAAACCCTTTCCTGAGAAGATTCAACAAACTAGGAACAGAAGGGAATGTCTTCAACCTGACAAACTTTAACCTCAATATCAAACCTGATAAAGAGCATCTAAGATTAATACAAAGCTGAAATCATACTTAATGGTGAAAAAAGAAAAAATGCTTTCTTCTAAGGAAAAAATAATCACATTCACACTAGTATCACATTGCATTGGTATCTAGGGTAATAAGGAAGAAAATAAATAAAATACGTCCAATTTTAAAGATAAATAAATAGGCCAGGCACGGTGGTTCATGCCTGTAATCCCAGCACTTTTGGCGGCCGAGGTGGGCAGATCATGAAGTCAACAGATTGAGACCATCCTGGCCAACATAGTGAAACTCTGTTTCTACTAAAAATACAAAAATTATCTCAGCATGCTGGCGTGTGTGTGTGTAGTCCCAGCTACTCGGAAGAGGCTGAGGCAGGAGAATCATTTGAACCTGGGAGGTCAAGGCTGCAGTGAGCTGAAATCACGCCACTGGCAACATAGCAAGACTCTGTCTCTAAATAAATAAACCACTATTTGCAGATAACATGATCTTTTATATAGAAAGTCCTCAGAAATCCCTAAAATGCTATTAGAAGTAAAAAGTGGGTTTATCAAAGTGGCAGGATGAAAGATCAGTATACAAAAATCAACTGCCTTCAAAGCCTGTAGTACCAGCAACTTGGGAGGCCTGTAATACCAGCTACTTGGGAGCTACTTAGCGGAATGGACTGAGTCCAGGAGTTTGAGCCTGCAGTGTGCTACAATCATGCCTATGAAAAGCCACTGCACTCCAGTCTGGCAATATATGAAATAGTAGTCTACACACACACATGAACGCAGACACATGCACATGCACATGCACATACACACATACACAAAGTCACACACACAAAGTTAGTCTCTACAGAAAAAAATCAATTGCCATCAAATAGATATAATTAAAAGTCTGATAATAAAATTAATAATATAATTCCATTGAAAATGTTATCAAAAGGATAAAATATTTAGTAATAATTTGAAAAGAATGAGTACAAGACTTGTATTCTAAAAACTAATACAAGAGAAAAATAAATTATACAATTAGAATGATATGATGATACTTTTGGGGATTAGGATGTATAATGCTGCTTCATAGCATGGGGCATATAGACCTTGTTTCTGGAGTATCTAGAGGAATACATACCTGGTAAATAGTCAGATGTAGGAATCCAAATTTCAAAAGGATGATCAAGCCTAAAGACAGACATCTGCGAAACATTGCAATATAAAGTAAGTAGTTGATATTTATGAAAGTGGATGAGGTTATTCAACAAGCATTTTAAGGATAATATAGAGCGGAACAGAGTGGTTAAGAGGAAACAGATCAGGATGGCTCTAAGAGAAAACAAAAGAAAGATTAAGGAGAAAAGAGAATCCTAGCATCTACTTTTCGTACACCAAAGGATTATAAATTTTAAAAGAGAGTATCTTTTGGGTATGTCAATTATTCAATAAGAAATTAAAAACGTTATTGGCCTTGAAAGATGCACCTACTGCAAAGTGATAAGGACAGAAGAAGTGCAGAAGTTGGGGTAAAAATGGGAAATAAATCAGTATATTTAGCTATCCCCACCCCATCCTTCATTGTCATCAAATCTGATGAATGTCTCTACTATGACACATTGCTTTATAAGTTTTTGTTTTCATGCCTGTGACCTTTTTAGCAGTTGGGACCATATATTATTTATTTTGTATCCCCAGTGCTTGGCCCTAACAGGTAACATAATATTGTTTATGTGGGTAAAAACACACATTGGAAGATAATATTTGAAACAAAATTTATTGGATAATCAATTTGGAGTGTTAAGCAGTAGCACATCATGTAGAACATTACTTGCCATAAATTGTTGCAGAATTTTGAATAGGAATGGCGTGGCCATATTTACATTTTAGGAATATCACTCTGGCCAATTTAGGACACAGGAATAAGAAGGGTACACGACTGGCACCAGGGAAACCACATCATGACAGTACAGCCACTGCAAGAGACACTAAATAGCTGACCTTAATCATTGTTAGTATGTGCGACAAAGAAGAAAACTGACAATGGATAGTTATGAAGTATGTTATCAAGCATTGCAAGTAAACTCGATGTGGAAACTGATGCTGAAGAGGAATCAGGGGTGACCGCCAAGTATCTCTGTTCTTGACTGAATGGAAATGGAATAGCAGCTAATAAAAAGGACAATCAAAAAATGAGAGCTTGCTTTATTAGGAACTTGCGGTCAGTTTTGACCTTCTTGAAATGGAAGTATCTGCAGGATATCCTTATTCAGGTGTTGAGTAAGAAATAGGGGTGAGTCTAAAACTAAAGGAATCATTTAGGTCTCTTAAGCCGGCTACATGTTTATAAATAAACTACTTCAAATGACTCATGTGCAGTTACATTACAGTAGAATAAATGTAGAGATTGAAATGTAAAAACATATACTCAGGGATCATGGTGCATTTAAATTGTGATTAAGATATTTTAAACCTTTATGTAATGCTAAACATATAAAATCACAATATGTAAAGCTTAGAAAGAAAATTTTGAAATATATTTAATGTGTTATCATATGCAGCTCTTGTTAAGGCTATGCTACGTCTGAGTTTTTTGCTCTCCAGATTTGAATGGCTTGGAATGATTATTAATTTATGAACTAATGGAGAGTGAGAAATATGACCAGGAAGAAAAGGAAGATGATTAAGGAAAGCCTTTCATGAACATCTGATGATTACTTCATGCATGCTTTAATTAGATGCAATTTCTGGACAATATTTGTATATAACTTACTTATTTAAGAGAGTTAGATGACCATTAGTTTTAGTCTTAATATGTGTACTTATGTCTTGTAACTAAATCATTATTGATTCTTGAACATTTTAGTGAATAAGCATTAAACTGCATTTTTCAAATTGCTCAAATTATGAATTAATGTGGCATATCATTGCAAAATATACTGAGAAGAAATCGAGTTTTAAAAATTAACAAAATAATCTTAAAATTCAGTCGTACAGGACTGATTGTAATTATATTCGATGTTCACATTATCTTCTTATCTCTGGTGCCATATTATAAGATTAACATAAAAGAGTAAAGAGGCAATAAAATAAGAGGAAGAGTCATATAAATATAAAATGCCCACAATGCTCGTTTAAAATCTGAAATCCAAAAACTGAAGGTGGCTTATGACTAATTTAGACAAAATCTGAAGTGAACTGAAGTGAGATGATTATTTATGGTCTTTATGATACATAGTGTGAATGCGTGTGTATATATGAGTACACAGATACCTGTATATCCGTATATCTATGTTCATCTGTATAACCAACCACCCATCCACACACTTTTTTCTTGCTCCAGAGATATTTTTTTCTTGATAATGCAGTGCTGTCCTAGGCTCTGCTAAGGTTATTTCAGAGTATGTAACATGTATACTCTCTTTCTAAAATCATACAAATGCTTATGAAATCCTCCTGATCCCAAGCATTTTAGATAAAAATGGCGGGCCTGAACATTCTCTGTTTTCTGGGCAGACATATACTAACTCTTACGGCAAGCATGTTCTTGGCAGCAGTTATTGCTTCATATAACTGGAAATCCAGAAGTAGATTAGGCTGCAGAGTTGCCCTAAGTATATACAATATGCTTCTCTGCAGTTCACCACCTTCCTTTCACCAGTTTCATCTTCATTTGATGAAAACAGAAGGATACAACATTTTGTAATGTTCGAAGCCACATTACAACATCTAGAAGAGGCATGTGAAAATTTTTTCTGTAAGTCCCAGTGAAATTTTTTTTCTAGAAATCCCAGTGAACTTTCATCCATGTGTCAGTGGACTGTGTTGTGATAATTCCATAAGCGAATGGGTTAGACATGGTAAAAATAAACACTGATGAATTCTATAAAAGTTGTATTTTGCTGTGATCAATGCAGACAATATATTTTCAGTGGAGGGTACTGAGAAGGCACTGAGACAACTGGGATGTCTAAAAGTGATGTTTTCCAGTTTTCCTGGTCATGTTGGCAATAGTATTCTGTGTGTGATTCCAGATTATGACAAGTCCTGAGTGGGCTTATCAAAGGACTTACCTTAACATACCACCCTGAAGCTCTGCTACACTTAGCTTAAAGTGTTACCATAATAGTTTCTAATCAATCACCCATGTCACCTGGATTTAAAATGTGAATTATAGATGTATTTTCTTAAAATGAAATGAGGATTATCTTTATATGTCTTGGACACATTACAAAATAGCCACTAGATATCACTCATAA